TTTTGAGTTCTTGTTGAAAGAGAAGTTATGAAAAAGCAACAAGGCAGTTGAAGTGGAAAGGGGGAGCCCGCCCGAGTATGTGCCTGCACATTCGGACACAGCCCTCTTTCAGCAGAGCAGCCCCTGCCCCCTCCACCGCCCACATTCCAGAGACAGGTCCTGGCTGCTGGGGAGGAGGGCAGGGCTTTGTCTGAAGAGCAAACACAGGGTCCTGGTGGCCAAGTGGACAAATCTTGTACCTCTACATCATCAGCAGGGGCTTCTCAGAACTCGCAAAGCCTGCCAGCAGCCGCCTCTGACACAGCAGAGCTCTCCTGGGCATGCTAGGGCCTGAGTGACCAGGCAGGGAGACCTCGGCACAGTCCTTGGTCAGCAGTAGCAGGAGATCCAATCGTGACTCGTGACCTCCTGCTTAGTGCTACTGAGACTTATTTCACAACACACTCTTGGTGGGGCCGTGGCGGGGTGGGGGGAGCCCTGACTTTTAGCATTTGCCAGTTTCCTTGGTGTAACTGCTGTCATCGTGGCTGATTTTTCAATCAATATGATATCACCAGTTGTGGAGTTGGAAAGAGAATCACAGTAACCCACCATCGTGTGCTATTTCCTTCCACCATACAAAAACCTTTCGAACATAGATCATAGTAACACATAGTAAAATAGTTGGGAAGTGATACGTTTTGAGTATTCATTACCTTTGTTTTTAATATAATTTGTTTAATTGTAAGTTTATAAAATGTCAGTTTCCATAATGACTGTGTTTAACAACTGCCTTGAAGAATTCCTGGAAATTCAGGAATTGGCCCTCAGAGCTGGTATGAGCTGACTCTAGGTGCCAGTGCCCCCATTGCTCAGGGCCCCAGGAACTGGGGCAGGGGCACAAGGTGAGGGCCCACACGGTCTTCTGCTCACTCTCTGTTCTCCCTCCCTCAGATCCTCTCCTTCATCCTGCACACAATTGTGCGTGGATTCATCCACTCTTCCATTGGGGGCCTGTACGCCGCCGTGTAAGTCCTGGGACCTGTGGGTGGCCTGGTGACAAAGGGTGAGGGAGTGACTTATGGGAGGTTTGTGGTGGGACTAAGGTCCTGAGGGGGGCAGCCTACCCTTTCAGGGTTCATTTTCTTGCATCAGGGACAGGTACCAGGGTTTTGTTGGGTGTGTCAGGGGAAGGCCAGACCTGGCGGGAGGTGGGTCAGTGGGCAGACAGTTGGATGCCCACAAGCCTTGGCATTTAACACGAAGTCAGTTCTCAGCCAGTCAGTTCCTCTGTGCAGCTCATGGTGCCTCAGGGGCCACTGCTCCACCGAGTTTTGGCTGCCTCTGGTTGCTCATGGGAAGGCCAGGGGTGGGTTCCGACTGCCCCAAGCTCAATGTTGACGTTCAAATGACCCTCAGCAGGAGCAGGGACATGGATAACTGAGCCCAGAACATACCAGACAGTTCTCACCCAGAATCTCACAGGGCCTGCCTCTACCCACGGCCTTCTCAGGGTGTGGCTGCAGTGAAACCTGCCTCTTCTCCAAGAGGCCACCCATACATCAGGAGCCACAGCGTCCTTCCGCCTTGGGCCGGGGCTAGTTTCAAAAATTGGAACCTACACACCATCCACTGTCTCTCTCTGACCGAAGATCTGATTGTTCCCCACTCGGAGCCCCTTCTCACCTCTGGGGCCCCAAAGCCTGATGTTTTCTAAGATCTTGCTAGAACTCTCTCCCCCTCCCAACAGCATTGCACGGGGGTCATACCAGGTCTGCATGTCCCCCACCCACCCAGGCCTGGAGGAAGCTGCGGCTGCCCTGGCAGGGTCTGAGGCAGTCGCTGAAAGCTCTGATGCCGCGTTTCCGTGATTACACAATGCTCCTCGGGATGAGGGCACAGCAGAGCCAGCCCAGCCTCCATCCTGCTCCCTGGGCCTGTTTCCCAAGCTCCCGCTGGCACCACACTTTCCACTCAGCTCAGCCAGGCACCCACAGGCCCAGGGCACACCTGGGCAGGGTGGGGTCCTCCCTAGAGTCTGGGGCCTTAGGTTGGTGCAAAAGAGAATTTCGCTTGGCACAACTGCTCAGCAGAAAGGAATCTGCAGGCAGGTGCCCGCTGTTCTCGGACGCTGTTCCTGCCTCTTGTCTGGCACCAGCGCACCTGGGGCCAGGCTGAGGCCCGGAGCATTTGGAAAGCCTGGGAGCGGACTTTCCGGTGACAGGTTGTCTGTTGCCCTGCAGGTACCCCTCCACCCAGTTCGGCAGCCTCACAGGACTGCAGTCTCTGGTCAGTGCACTCTTCGCTCTCCTGCAGCAGCCCCTGTTTCTGGCCATGATGGGTCCCCTCCAAGGAGACCCTCTGTGGGTAAGAAGGGCCAGGGGGCAGTGGGTTACAGGCATCTGCCCTCCTCTGCTGGGTGGGAGCTGAGAGGCATTGCTCGGGGGCTTCCAGAGCCCCAAAGACAAGAAGTTTGGGAACTTTGGTTAAGATCGAATCAGAGTCCCCTGTGACTGGCGGCTGGGCGGAGGAGAAAAGCGCCCTTTCTGGACCTGATTTCGAGATAAAGAGAGTCTGGTTGCTGTCCCTGCCCCACCCCCTGGAGATTCAGATGAGTAGGTCTGAGGTCAGGGCTGGGGGTGGGGGGAGGCAGAGGGCAGGCCCGGAGGGAATTCTGGTGCTGGAATGTGGCCCTCCAGCCTGTTGAACATTCCAGTTTGTTTTTCCCCTCCTGTCCTGTGACTTTCTCCCCTTTCCCAAACCTGAGTGTGAGGAAGGGTTCCCGAATTGGACTCTGCAAAAGACCACAGCCCCCACCTGGTCCCCTGCCCCACGTGACGGCAACTTTCATCCCTGCCGCCCCAGGTGAACGTGGGGCTGCTGGTCATGAGCCTGCTGGGGTTCTGCCTCCCCCTCTACCTCATCTGCTACCGGCGCCAGCTGGAGAGGCAGCTGCAGCAGAAGAGGGAAGATGACAAGCTTTTCCTCAAGCTCAACGGCTCCTCCAACCAGGAGGCTTTCGTGTAGTGCCCGCACCTCAGAACTGTGGCCTCCTGCCCTTGCTTCAGTGACTCACCAGTGTCCTCCTCCCCACCCCAGAGGACCACGCGCCCCTGGAGCCTCTCCTCCACCGTGCCAGAGCCCGTGCGCCCTCCCGGGCCCTGGTCCTGCCTTGGAGCTCTGCTGTGGCAGGACAGGGGAGGGCCTGAGCGTGGGGTTTTCCTGCTGCTGGAAGAGGGCTGCCCTGGGCTTTGCTCTGCCACCTTTGAGGGGCCCTGGAGCCTTGAGGCTCCCTGGTACCTGCAGGAGGAGCCAGGAGGACCCCTGACAGTCAGGCTCTCCCTCCAGCATCTGGATTCTGCCTCTTGCCAAAGCAGAGGGACCTGCCACTCACTGCCTACCACCTGCCTCTCGGCTGCATGCCCGCCCACCGCGCCTGCCTGAGGACAAAGGCCTGCGCTGTCTGCACCCCCCTCGCCGGCCCCTCATCTCCACCCAGGTCTGAGGCTGCCTGAGGAAGGAAGGACCCGCTTCCTGTTGTTGGTGCTAACTCCTTTGTGATTCCAGCCCCTGTGGCCAGGCCGTGGCCTGTCCTCCCTCCCGTGTGAGGCCTGTGGAGGAGTCCCCCTGGCTGAAAGCCTGGGAAGGGATGAGGGGCCACGCTGGGCTCAGGAACCAGGGACAAAGGACCTCGGGATCTAAGTGGAGAGCAAGTTTGTGCTGCTGCCTGTCATCCAGTCTGTGACCTGAAGGGAATTAAAGGGGCACCAACACACAGCTATTGTTGTGGGGGTGGAAGTGAGGCTGTGGCTGATAGACCGGAGGGCCAGGCCCGGTGGGGAGGCAGGTAGTGAGGGGCCTGGGTGTTTGTGTATGTGTAGGTGTGTACATGTGCTGTGTGTGAGAGGGCATGTGGGATGGTGGTAGGGTGTGGGCTCTGGGTATCTGCTGTTATTCTCCCAGAGCCGCCCAGGAGCCAGCCTGGCTCATCTGGGAGTTTGTGGGCGGCTGTGGAGCCACCGCGCCCCCTGCTGGCAGACTCCCCCAGGGCCCTGAGCTGTTTACAGGGGAGGCCTCCCTTCCTCTGCCAGGCGGGCCTGACTTAGCAATCCACCCACCAGGACTTGCCCCAGAAATGTGTCTGGGACTTCCTGGGAGCACAGAGAGGGCTGGGTGGACTTTTAGGTTTCTAGTTTTTGTTTGTTGTTTTATCAGACTCCTTTTTATAAAGCAATAAAATCAGTTTTCCTCCTGTTAGGGTTGTCCCTGCTAGCACATCAGTTAAGGGCTACACATGCCTGTTTTGAGCTGGAGGAGGCAAGGCAAGCTTTGCTGCCACTGACCAGCCCCAGTCGTACCCAGTTGCTCACAATCTCTCTGGACGATTGCCAGCTTGGGAGGGGGAGGGCTGGGAAAAGACCCCCCACCCCCACCTGGACTCGTGCAGGTATCTTCGAAGGGGACGACCCCTCCTCTGCTGCTTCTCCCAGCCACACAGCCTAATCCTGGCCCCTTTGGTCCCCTGCTCAGCTCTCCTGTCACCGGCCAGCTGTCCTGAGGGCTCCTCCCGAGTTGAGTCCCAGGAGAGCCTCAGACGCAGAGACAGAGGCAGAACACGGTGGGGGGAATGGACAGAACAGGAAGGGGCAGATCAGGCCCAAATCCGAGGTCTGTGTCAACAGTTGAGCATCTTGAACACGCCTTCGTAGGCTTCAGTCCGCTCAAATATTAACAAAACCAAAAATGTTTGTTTATAACTTGGAGTAGTGAACACACAGATGACGTATTACAGAACTGTACACCTGAAACCTACACAATTTTATGAACCAATGTCACCCCAATAAATACAATTACAAAACATTTGTTTAAAACATTTTAAACCCTGGCCGGGCAGCTCAGTTGGGTAAAGCATCATCCCGATACACCAAGGTTGGGGGTTCAATCCCTGGTCAGGGCACATACAAGAATCAACCAATGAGTGCATGGATGGCTGGAACAACAAATTGATACTCCTACCCCCAACTGTACCTCCTTCTCTCTCTCAAATCAGTAAATACATTTTTTAAGCATATGTTTTTAAAAAAGAGAACAAGATCAACATTTCCCAAAACTTTCCTCAGAACACTAATTATGTGAGGTTTAATGGTTATGCTAAATTTTTTTAAAAGCTTTGTAGTCAAATTTGGGGAATGCTGAGTTCAAGTCAGGCACGTTTCTTTGCAGCAAGCACTTGCAGCACTCTGGAATGCTCATGGACTCTGGCCCTCCAAGAGGGAGGGTGGTACGCTGTGCGGGGAGGCGTGGCTTTAACAGTCCGAGAGCCGTCCTCCATGTGTGGCCCGATGGAGCTCCTTGGTGTTTGTTGAACATATAAACTGTAGGTCTTGCCTTTGACGTAGAGGGACTCTGGAGCCTAGATTTTGCTAAGCCCCACCTGGTGATTCTGGTGCCTCCCCAAAGTTTGAGATCCACTGACAGAGGAGTACAGTTTGGGGAAATATGGATTAGCAGGAGCCCCTCCAGCTGGGAAAACATGAGGTTACAGACAAGACCTGTGCTGTCCCCGGAGCACCCAAAGTAAGGGCTGCTGCCTCTCTCCCACCCACCCGCAGGGTATGGGCACTTTACGGGAAGAAGGAGGCATTGACAAATGAGTTCAGGGTGCAAATCCGTGTAGCTCCAACAGTACATAGGGATTGGAGGTATGAAATGGGAGCAGGGTACCAGATGGGTCGGCCACCAACTGCACCCGAATCCGCCAGTCATTCTACTCTGACTGTACAGGAGTGATGGGTGATCACAGTGGTCGGCAAACTCATTAGTCAACAGAGCCAAATATCAACAGTACAATGATTAAAATTTCTTTTGAGAGCCAATTTTTTAAATTTAAACTATATAGGTAGGTACATTGTTATTAACTTAATTAGGGTCCTCCTAAGCTGGCCTTTGCTAAAGACGTCCTCAATCTGATTGAGGTACGTTCGCTGAGGTCCACCCCTTCCAACTCTCCCATCCACACTCGTCTTGTATACTTGTTTCGCCCAGGCCGAAAACCGACTTCTGCGCATGAACCACGAAGTTTCAATCGCACTGTATGTGCGCGCCCGCACGTGGTATTTTGTGGAAGAGCCACACTCAAGGGGCCAAAGAGCTGCATGTGGCTCTCGAGCCGCGGTTTGCTGAAAGCCTGCTAGGCCAGGACATTCCTCTTGGAGCATAGCCTCAGGGCCACCAGGCTTTGGGAGCTGAGAGGCAAACCCAGGCCCCACTTATTAGAGTCGAGAGAGTCCTCTGAGTGTGGGATGACTTCTACTCAGCAGAGTCACCTTGGCCCTGGAGGCACATGGGTTCTTGAGGGAGCAATTCTCTGGTTGCCCCAAGCCTGAAGTGAAGGTCTCTTCTCCTTGATAGGAGTGCCCTGGACTGAGAAAAGGACCACGGGCTGATCAAAGGCAGGGAGCACCAAGTGGCCATGGCTCTCCATCTTCCCTTTGTCCTCAAGTTCCTGGTGAGGAGGAGCAGGAAGTGATGCCAGGCCAGTGGCTTCCATCAGAGTGAGGAAGGGGCGGGCCCAGTCTCGGAAGGATTGTCAGGAACCCCGCTCCTCTCCAGTCCCCTTAGACTCGGGTCAAGCTGTTCCTTTGTTGGCCTCCCCCTGACCTCGTGGCCTGTCAGCAGCTCCTGCTGCCTGGACCGTGCTGGGGAGGCTCCCCACCCTCCTGAAGGCCACAGGGTTGCAGGCGCCTTTCTGTTTTGCTCCATCTCTTCTCTTCTTTTGTATCCAGTATCAATCAACCTGCTCCAAACAACCTCCGCTAAGACCTCCTCGCTTGCTCCATCTCCTTTCCCTTCTTGTATCCAGTGTCAACCTGCTCCAAACAACCTCTGCTAAGACCTCTCCTCGTCCTGGCCCCGGGCTTTGCAGTTTGTGAGGGCCTCACACTGCCCTGGACCCCAAGGGACCTGAAAATGGGGGGGGGGACATCCAGTAATCAGGGTACACGTGCAGGACCGCCTCAGACAGCAGCAGAAGCATTCAGCTCAGTGAAGTTTTCAGCGTACTTGCATATCAGCTTGGGAGCAGAATTTGAGCAGATATGCAGCTGGAGTGGGTGATGGGAGGTGGGGTCGGGCTGTGATGAGAGGAGGGTCAGCTGCGGGCACCCTAGGGTGAGGGGCTCTGCCAGGAAGCTCTGAAAAGTCTCAACAGGATTGAGCTTGGGGGCTGTTTCGGCAATAGCGCCCTCTGGAGGGTAATATGAGAAGTTGTCATGGGCTCTTGGGGCAGTGAGGCGCCCTATCTGTTCCAATTACCAGGGGCCCAATTCAAGGGTGACAGCCCATTTCCCCAAAAAATAGTTTGTGGGATTATGAGGAGGAGGAGGAGCCCAGGACCCCCAAAGTCAGGGGGTTGGTTTTTCATAACCTCCCTGGGGTTGGGGAGCAGGGTGAGCAGACAGGCTCTGTGAGCCCATTTGCTCCTATGTCCTAACTCACCCCACCCCTGGAGTGAGGATGGAGCTGCCCGAATGCCATGAAGGAGAAGCAGCGTCCCCATGGGGTGGCCCGCCAGCGTGGAGCTGCCACCTGTGTTCCTTGGTCTCCAGGCAGCATGTCCCCGGCTCTGAAGTCAGTCACTGGGACCCTTGGCAGCCCCCGCCCCCTCCCTTCCCAGAGTGAGACTCCATCTCCCCATGCCGAGGGGATGAGCAGAGGCTAGATGCCCCACCACACGACATCCGTGACCCTAGGCTAGTCTTGAGCTTTGGTTTCCTTCTCTGTAAAGTGGAGATAATACCTTCACGTGCTCGGTGAACACGACATAAAGCGTTCGCACAGTGGTGTACCTAGCACCTCATAGGCTCCTAACGAGGGGCAGCAGTATTTGTATGACCCTGGAAGAGTGCAGCGAGCACAGGAAATGAGGGCACCCCCACTCCTCTACCCCCACCAGGTTAATAGGACACCTACTTTGGGCAGCTCTGGCCAGGACAGACTTGTAGCCAAGACAGGAAGTGGGGTCTGTTTCCGCTGCCCCTGCCCCTCTCAGAAGCCCTCTTTAAGCAAAAAGCCTTAAGAAGTCCCGTTTACTTTTGTGTTTTTCACATTTTTGGTAAGAGACTTGGCCAAAAAGCTTCTCAAGGTAATCTCTCAATGGTAAATATGCAGGCACGCTGACCGATTTATGTTGGGGCGCTCAGATCACCGCACGTAGATAGCACCTCCATGCCACCTCCTTGTAAAACTGCCTGGCTGTGCCTGCATGTGTGTGTGTGTGTGTGTGTGTGTGCGCATGCGCACGCTCACATGTTAGGTATGAATGTGTTTCAGAGGAGTGTGCAGGGGCTTGTCTGTGTGCCTCTCTACCTGGATGGGGAGGAGGGAGAGGGTCTTGCCTCCCTTTCTGTTGCTGGAAAGACCCAGGCAGGCCCCATCCAAGGACCCAGCCAGGCCCCGAGGCTGTGCCTGGAGGGTTCCTCTGTTCCCTGTGTTAACCAGGGTCCGCACAGTGTTACTGGTGATCTGGTAGCTGTTTCTAGCCCCTTTGCTGTTTCTAGCGCCTGGCTTACTTCCTGGCACACAGTAAGCACTCAATAAATGTATGATGAGAACAACAAGAGCTGCTTCCTCTCAGTTCCTGGGTCTCTTTCTCTCGAAGCCACACATTCCCTTGCCCCCGTCTCTTGCTCAGATTCCCCGGAACTTACCCGAAACGTGCTCTGTGCCCCCCGCCCCCCCTTTGTGCTACATCCACCAAGACCCAGCTTTGCTGGTTTGGCCTCTGCACTGCCCTTTGAAGAGGTGGGGGAGGAATAAGTAGGGGGCTTCTTGGGTGGGAAGACGGGGGCTGCTGGTGAATTCTGGTTCTAGGGGAGGGAGCGCATCCTTGCCCCTTTTCTTTTGTCCTAAGGCAGTGGTCGTGGACATGGCTGCTGCTCCTACAGAATTCCCACCAAGCTGGCCACCTCCCACCAGGACCCTGGTCGGTGTTAGCAGGAGGGAGAAAGCAACTGGGGACCTCCCAGAGAAGCCCCAGGGAGAGCCCCACCACCAGGGAGGGTAGGGGTAGCCTGATTGTCAGAGGCCTGGCCCCTGACCCTGCTTGGGTAGAAGGGGCTTAAGGCCCAGAGGAGGGGCCAGCTGGGGAAGGGGTGAGCAGTGGCCCCCTGCACGGTAGCCAGGGCAGAGAGATGCTGGATGGATGCCCTACTTGTCAGGACTGTAAACTCAAAAGCTGGGGCTCTGCCACTTCCTTTGTTATTTCCTTTCATTTTCCCGTGTTTGATGGAGACGGCACAAAGAAATATTTCTCTAGAGCCAGCATGAGTTCTGTGCTGCTACAGGGGGCAGCTAGACCTTGACCTCTGTGCCAGGGACGCACGAGGAATTGGTGGGACTGTGGGGGCAGGGAGTCGCACCCCTTCTCAGGGGGCAGCCTTGACACAGCTTCAACCAGGTATGGCTGTGTGGGAATGAGCCCAGTGTTGCCAGATCTTCTGGGTTGTTGTTGTTGTTTTTTTTTAAGAAGCTGGAAATTCTGAATTTTATATAAAATACCCCCATTTTCAAGTGTTGGCTTAAAAAATATCTTTAATATGTTTTTATTGATTTCAGAGAGAGGACAGGAGAGGGAGAGAGAGATAGGAACATCAATGATGAGAATCGTGGATCAGCTGCCTCCTGCACGCCCCCCACTGGGGATCAAGCCCACAACCTGGGCATGGGCCCTGACCAGAGTAGAACCATGACCTCCTGGTTCACAGGTTGACACTCAACCACTGAGCCACACCAGCTGAGCAAAAATCTTTTTAAAAATATCACGCTGTTCAAATAGCTTTTAACCCTATGCTGGCCAAACACTGTCAGAGGCAGAGAGAGCAACAGAGGTCACGTGGCTCCTCACCTCCTCTGGGCACCCAAAGCACCGCTGTCTTTCAGTAGATATGGCCCTACCTGGGCTGTGTCTCCCCCAGCCTGGTGCATACTGAATGTTACTGAGTCTGGCTTCTAGAGTGGCCCACAGTCCCTATCGAGGGACACGGAATTGTCAGGCAAAGCTCACGGCAGAGCCAGCTCGCCCTCATGGGCTTGAGTCCCTGCCTCTGGCTGGGCCTGGCCAACACACTCCTCTGCCCAGTGGGACGAGCCAGGCAGCCAGCGTCACGTGTTTGCGTGTGTGGTGCTCGTCCCCACGAGGACAAACGCTCCCTGGGAGCTGGCCCGTGCTCTGCCTCGGTCACTGTGATACTGCCAGTGCCTCAAATGGTGCCTGGCCTGGAACAGTTGCTCAGTAAATATTTGGAGGGTGAAATTTAAAAAAAGAAGAGACAGAAATAAAACGAGAAGAGGCTGAGACAGAAGCTGGGAGAAGAAAATGCTCTCAGCAGCCAGGAAGGGACAGAGCAGAAGATGGAAACAGTGAAACACGGTCTCCCCGAGATACCCAGAGATGGGTTACAGGCGTGTCCGTGACCACGGCGGTAATGAGGGCCAGGCAGCCAGGAGAAACCATCCGGGGGTGGGAACGGTGAGATGTACAGACACCGAGACAAAGGCAAGAGAAAAGGGGAGAGAGAGAGACCAAGACAGAACAGAGCAGGCAGATAGGGGGAAAGGAGACAGCCGCCAAGAGAAGATGAAAGAAACATAGGCTGAAGACGCTTTACCCAGAGTAGAGAGACAAAGACTGATGACGGGTGGGGAAAGACAGGAAGCGGATAGAGACAGAGAAATGCAAAGGGGCAGAGAGGAGAGAGAACGAGAGAGATGCAAGACAGAGAGATACAGAAAAGCAGACACAGAAAGACAGAGAGGCAAGATAAACTGATAGGAGAGAGAAAGACAGAGAGAGCTAGTGAGGAGAGGTAGAGAGGGAGCTAGAGAGATGGAGAGAAGATAGAGAAGTACAACGGAGAGGGAAGGAGACAAAGAAAGGGAGACATGAGAGACAGAAAGATCATTGTGACACTGGAGATTAACATCTTTCTCCCCTTTTAAGCCTGGAGCAAGTAGAAGTAGCGTAGGGGCAGCAATGTCCATCCCTCCTTCTTCACCACACCCCTGCCCCCAACAATAATAATATGGAAAAGTGCCATGAGCTGCACAAAATTACCTTCCACACATTGTCTCAAAGCAGGCATTTTACAAATGAAGCAGCTTAGGCACAGAGAGGTTCAGTAACTTGCACAAGGTCACACAGGTGGCAAGTGGTAAACTGGGGACTCCAGGGCATCAGGTACCAGGGACTCTGTTCCCACAGTGGGGCTGTTGGCTCACGGTGGGGAACAGTTGTAGAGTGCTGTGGTCCCTGTATACAGTATAAGGGGTAACGCAAAGCTTGCTCGAGTTAAGAGATGTAAGAAACAGAACAACTGAAAATAAAATGTGAGCCCCGGCCAGTGGCTTGGCTGGTTGGAGCATTGTCCTATATACCAAAAAGGTTGTAGGTTTGATTCCTGGTCAGGGCACATACCTAGGTTTCGCATTGCAGGTTCAATCCCCAGTCTGCACTGGTACGGGAGGCAACCGGTCAAGGTGTCTCTCACATAGATGTTTCTCTCTCTCCCTTCCTCTCTCTCAAATCAATAAACATACCCTCGGATGAGAATTATAAATGAATGAATGAGTAAATAAATAAAATGTGAAAAATATCTGACCTTTTTAAGACACTGAACTTATCTTTTTTAAAAAAATAACCCTAGCCCTAGCCGGGTTGGCTCGGTGGATAGAGCGTCAGTAAATAAATAAAATGTGAAAAATATCTGACCTTGTTAAGACACTAAACTTATCTTTTTAAAAAAAAACAACCCTAGCCCTAGCCGGGCTGGCTCAGTGGATAGAGCGTCAGCCTGCAGACTGAAGGGTCCCAGGTTCGGTTCCGGTCAGGGGCACATGCCGGGGATGCGGGCTCAGTCACCAGTGGGGGGCGTGCGGGAGGCAGCCAATCGGTGATTCTCTCTCATCATTGATGTTTCTATCTCTCTCTCTCTCCTTCTTCCTTCCTCTCTGAAATAACCATGTGACCCTCTCATGTTCTAACCCAGCGGTTTTCTTTCATATTGATCTCAGAGAGGAAGGGAGAGGGAGAGATAGATAGGAATATCAATGATGAGCAAGAATCATTGATTGGCTGCCTCCTACGTAGTCCCTACTGGGGATCAAGACTAAAACTTGCGGCATGTGCCCTGACTGGAATCAAACCATGACCTCCTGGTTCATAGGTTAGCGCTCAACCACTGAGCCACACCGGCTGGGCTAACCCAGCGATTTTCAGCTAGCGTGCTGCAACAATTTTAAGAACATGCCATACCTGGCTACTTAGTTAGGGCTGCTGACCCCTTTCCCCTTACATTGTCAAATAAACCAAGCCACCCAATATGAGTGAATCAAGATTATACCTATTTTTTAATACACTATTTTTTTTTTGGTTCAACCACTGAGCCACACCGGCTGGGCTAACCCAGCGATTTTCAGCTAGCGTGCTGCAACAATTTTAAGAACATGCCATACCTGGCTACTTAGTTAGGGCTGCTGACCCCTTTCCCCTTACATTGTCAAATAAACCAAGCCACCCAATATGAGTGAATCAAGATTATACCTATTTTTTAATACACTATTTTTTTTGGTTGCCACAGAGCTTAAGTAATTAGTTTATGTGTGCCGTGAGATGAAATAAGGTTGAAACTTGCTGCTCTAATCAGAGGCTCCTCTCTGGCCTCCCCAGCCCCCAGATTCCCTCCTCTAGAATCCTGCGTCTATGCCTTTGCATACCCTAGTTCCCCTCTGAAAATGCCAGTCCCCCTTTCTAGCCAAATCTGGCTCAAATCCCCCTGGTCCTGGATGCTCCCTACTCCTCTCCAGGCCAGGAGGCCCCTCCCCAGCACTGTCCTTTGGGTCACACACATGCCCCTTTATTGCAAGCTGCCTCGAGACACTCGCTAGTTTTCTGCAAGTGCAGGGCCCACACTCCAGGAGGGCCTCCAGAGCAGAGGCTGGCTCTCAGGTATTTTGATTGTTGTTTTGCGTGTTGTTTCCCCCAGTGCCTAGCACAGCCTTCTAAACTCTCTTGGCTCAACTCTTACTAACTACGAGCCAGAGTAGCAATAATTCCTCTAGTCATTCCGGTCTCTGTCTAAACATCACCTCCTCTGAGAGCCTTCCCTGGCCACCTGATGCTGCCTGCCACGGCCCATGGTCACCCTGTTCAGCCTCTTTTTGACATTTATCACTTGAAGCTAATTCTGTATTTATTTATCTTCTGCTTCCCCCACTGAACAAGAGGAGGGTGTCATTTTTCTTGGTCACCCCTGTATCCGGAGTGCCTAGGAAACAGATCAGGGCAGGGCCAGGTGCTCAGTCAATATTGACTCAGTGAATGAGTAACTGTAGCTTTCCCAGCTAGACTACAAGGTCCCAGATGGCGGGGTTTAGTTACTTCCTGGAGAGAGCCAGCCCATAGCAATTGTTATTATTCATTGATATTATTGGGGCGGGCACCGGAGGCGGGGGGAGTGGGGAGGACCAGAGGACCAGGCTCTAGGACACTCACTGAATCTTGGACTTTGAGTCATAGTATCTCCTCTCTTGGCCGTCTTCACAGGACCTGGACTTAGATCTCTCTAGGATTCAATGAATGAGTGGCCAATGTGTGCAATACTCAGGGCTGTCCTGGGACACCAGTCGTGGTTTAGCAGCTACATAGCCATCTGCTCCAGCCTCCCTTCCCAAGTTCATATCTTGGGCCATCCACTAACCATCACCAGCGTGCTCCTTAAATTCAACACTGGAGTCATTGCTTTCTCCTGTGCAAATCTGCCTTTCCTGTGTTCTCCTAAAGGCAGTCCACTTACGCTCCCAGGCCTGAAACCTCCTTCCTTTTACCCTCTCAGCCAATTCGTCAAAAACCTTGCTCATTTTACTTCCGGAGTTACTGCTGAGTCCACTTCCCCTTTCCCCTTCCTTCCCACCACTGTCTTTCTTAGCCCATCTTTGCCTGGATTTCTGAAGAAGCCTCCTCACTGGCCGCCCTGCCTCTGCCCTGGCCCCCTCCCCCAACTTTCCACCCAGCCGTCAGAGTGAGCCTTTGGGCACCAATCCTGCTTAAAACCTGTAAGTGCCCACCTGTGCCCTTCGGATGGACTCCAAACACCTTATCATCACCTACCAGGAATTACATCATCTGGCCCCAACCCACCCCTGCTACCGCTCCTCAGCCCCCCAACTTCATGCCCCAGTCACTTCTTTCAGGCACCCAAATGTACCTTTGTATTCACTCTGTAAACACCTCCCCTCCCAGCCCCCTACAGATCTCAGCGTAGAAGCTCTTCTTCCAGGATGCCTGTTGACTACATCTCCTGGTGTAATCCCAACAAGCCCGCGTTTCACTTCTCACAGCCCCTTTTCATTCTAACTGCCTGGCTCCTTCTCCTCCACCCATCAAGCTACCCACCACCCCACCCCACACACCCTGTCCCTGAGTTCCCCAAGGGCTAGATGAACTTTACCGTGTTCACTTTCTCAACAAAAGCACAGGTTTTGGTACACAGCAGGCACCTAGCAAATACTAACTGGATGAATGACATAACACTAAAACTTAAAAAAAAATTTTTTTTTATTGGTTTCAGAGATGAAGGGAAAGGGAGAGATAGAAACATCAGTGATGAGAGAGAATCATTGATTGGCTGCCTCCTGCACATCCACACTGGGGATCGAACCCACAACCCAGGCATGTGCCCTTGACTGGAATCGAACCTGGGACCCTTCAGTCCGCAGGCCAACGCTCTGTCCACTGAGCCAAACCAGCCAGGGCTGCACTAAAACTTCTGGGTGAAAAGCTCAGCCCCATCACATGCTAGCTTTGGACTTGAACAAGTCTCTGAACCTCTGCCTCCTGCTCACCTGTAAACCAGGACAATAATAGTACCATTTTGGTGGTGTTGTCCTGGCAGTGGTTCTCAACCTTCTGGCCCTTTAAATACAGTTCCTCATGTTGTGACCCAACCATAAAATTATTTTTTTTTCATAAAATTATTTTCGTTGCTACTTCATAACTGTAATGTTGCTACTGTTATGGATCGTAACGTAAATATCTGATAGGCAGGATGGTCTTAGGCGACCCCTGTGAAAGGGTCGTTGGGCCGCCAAAGGGGTCGCGACCCACAGGTTGAGAACCGCTGTCAGAGTCAAGCACTTAGAAGAGCACTTGCATGTCCTGGCTATTGCTAATTTTTTTTTTTTTTTGACACAACCCTTTCCTAGATCTCAACCCACCCACTGCCCAAGCATACAGGTGCATCTGCTCCGGCTGCGGAACTGTCACACCTAAGACCCTGCCCTACACCCCCGACGTCGGCTCCGCCTAGCGGCGGGGTCCTGTGCGCGCCCGGAGTCTACGGTGCTCGCCGACGCGGCGGCCCTTTTAAGGCAGGAGGCGACAGGGCGAGGAGGCCCCGCCCCCGCGTGA